AATCAGTAAAGGACTTCACCATCTATTCCTGCCGGTGTGAGTCACCAGGCGCACGGCACGCGATTGAGTGAATGCGATTATCATTTCTTTTTACAAGGGCAAAGGGTCAAGATGGACCACAGCAACACCCAATCAATAACGCTCCTTTGAATTCAACAAGACCTCTAACAATCAATATCTCTTGCAAACAGGCCAAACAGCTTGTCCTGGCTGAGTTGGCAACCTTCGAAGAATTTTCAACGCCGCGATTGCCAGATGCCATTGTTTGTTTGCGCAGCCGCACTAACGGCTACTTTTCTGGTGTTTTGTTATTACAGTGCAACAAGCCGAGAAACGGATTCTTGATTTTTTATCTCCCTTGTTATGACGTGTAGAAATGACGAATCACTTCAACCGTTAAAACGAAACTTTATTCCACCAGTATAATTAATCTGCAATATTTTATCTAGAGCTCGTTGTGAATAAGAGCCATCTCATAGAGAGCTAATTATGAATGTGATACTCAGCTTAAATATTATTGCACTGCTACACAAAATCAGTTTTTTCACTTTGGCCATAAGAATATTTTAACGTCTAACGTTAATAATGTTTCTTTCAACCAATTGCTTAAACGTCCGCATTTAATGGTGATAAATGTCAAAATTTAAGAACCTCAATTAATTCTCGAAATGATTCCGCTTGTTGAAAAATATGTGTAATATAAACCAATTTAGCGCTCTGCTAGCGAACTGGGTGTATTTTTTAGAATAACTTAAACTTGCACATTAGTCTACAATATTTTACATTATAGAGTACTGATATTAGTATTAGCATGTCATCTCAAATTGCATTTTCAGCGAGTTATGAATTGTCTGAATATTGATTACTGCAACAGCGAAAAATCGCTTTCAGTTGTAAGCTGTATGTGTTAACACAGGTGCAAGCGTTGCACTATTTTCGTTAATGTCAGATGATCTTTGGAGTAATGAAATCACTAAATTATCATTCAGCGTAGCTTGTCATAAAGCGAGGAGCAAGATGATGTCTCCGAACAGTTGAAATAACATTACCGTAGTCATACCAAGGTTTCTGGAACTTCTGGCTATGCGATTTGATGTGCACCGCACGGCTCCGTTGCGCTTTGATTCAATCGGTAGCAGATTAAATAGGAACGCGTTCTAACGCGTAAGCAAAAAAGGCTAAAACAAGAAGAAAAATTGATAATATGCTTAATGAAATTTATTTATTGTGGAGTCCAGTTGACGCCATGAAAAGTATTGTATCTGAGGTTAACAGCAGCGAAATGTACTCTCCCATTATCTATAGAACAATGCAAACCTCCCGCAAGTGCAGATTTTGCGGCATTGTGTACGAACCCTTTGTTCCTGATTGCATACGGGCGAAATAAGCAGTCCACGTGTCCACGGTATCTGAGCATTTGCAGTGCCAGAAGCATTCCGCTTCATTTTGTTTGCTAGGGCCACACTACGAACGACAGTTCAGGTTCTGGTGCATCTTATAGCTAACCGCATTAACATCAAATGTGTTGGCACTTTGGTGCAAGTCAAATCATGCATAACTCTTCCAGGACCAGATTTAGCGTAACATTGTACTGCTACGTTAGCAACTAAGGACAAAAGGGTGATCTAATATGTCGTGAAAGAGATTTAGCCGTTGTAAGGCACAGTTGTTTTTCAGTGAACTCAATCGTTAACATCTCTTCCGGAAAGCATTCAAAGCTTTTACTCCCCTCCAGAGCATTTCATGTTGGAATAGACTCTGCGCTCGCTTTGCCTTTACTCGTTGTGCTTTTGTTAGTCTGACCGCGTATCCCGCTGATATTTTACTACGATGTTTACATTGCTCGTAATGTTAATTACCATATCCCTGTAATCGGTCGTTGATCGACAGGATAGCTATCGGCGGCGATTCGTTCATCACCCTCGATTCTGTGGCACCTGACTACCTGAACGTACATTCGACAATTCGATAGAAGTGGCAATTTTACGAAATACTGAATACCACCAGAGACACGGATTCTGTGGAGGACGGAAGAATATTCTTCTGAAGAATAAAGCCGGAAACTGCCTTTACATTATATTGTTTCGTCTAGTGCGCGTTCAGTGGGAAACAGACTTACAGAAATCAAAGCCGCCTTAATTCATATATCGTTCGCAAATCTCGTAGCGCTCATGCATAAGGAAACGTGATTCCTGAATGAACTTAAAAATTCACTCCTCTAGCAAACAGAATTTCCGGTTTTTTGCTTCGATTGTTCTTCAATAAGATGGCCTACTGAAGCGTGCGAAGTGGTCACGTTCGAACTTACTGGTTTTGGTTTTGATTCAAGTCAGTAGCACTCATTTCAGTATTCAAGAATTTCATTGAGCAACGAATCTGTCACCCGTTACTTCGGATTGTGATTACGCACTCGATAGGACGTCGAGCTCAGAACCGAGAAGATCCTACGCTTGCCACAGCTGTGAACTCTGCCTTTAGAATAAGGTACCGTTGGGGTGGCAGCTCTGAAACGGGGAAGCATTGCACCATTAACTTCATGGTAAGGAGGGGACCAGAATCGCTTTAATATGAAAGTGCGAAAAAGCTCAACGATTGCAAGCTTCCCTAATATCACCTTTTTTCAGAAAGGAAGACAAGCGTGAACGCGATAGTGATTAACATTCTACAATAAATGTGCGTTAACTCTGCCATCATTCAGTCTACCTTCATGTTTGACAGTGTTGTTTCTATTATCATCCGCTGCTAGAAACGTTTCTCGTTTCGATGTACAAGCGCATAAAGCTGATGAATTTGTACATAGCCAAAAATTCGGATGCCCATGGGCCCAAAGAATCTGCCAATACCTTGACTGCGTTCCTGTCGGAAGTTATCGAGAAAAATTTGACTAATTTAACCAGAGATTTTTGCAGTCACTGGTTGAATCCCATCTGCCGCAACTTCAATAGGGGCATAACATCAAAATACCGTGAGGCCAAGTCTTTTACCTGAAGATGAAAGCCATAATAGTTCGATCAGATACTGCACACCAGTGTACAAGAGCACTTTCTGCTGTAATTCTTGTGCAAGAAAAGCCATAATTTCCAGTAGTTAAATGATGTTTTATTCTAGTCAGTGCGTTCCTTGTGTTGCAGCTATATGTATTCCCATACTACTCGGTTCTACTGCAACCAATATAGCCTGTCTAAGTGTATTTAGCATGGACACATACTAAGTGGCAAACTGCGTCCTAGATTTATCACTGAAGAGTATTTTTCTCCTTTCTAAAGTTTATCGAGATCCATGCTCATAGATAAGGAGACTTCTGGGTCGGTTTCCAATAAAATTGGGCCCGTACGATAAATTCTGTACGATTTCTATAATGAAAGATAGGTCCGCTAAGTGGATGATTCATCCAAACTCAAACGGTTTCGCTAGCTGTTGTTTTAGGGTTCATGGCAAGCCTTCGTGGCAACTGTAGCGACTGCGGAGCCTGCATTTTATCATACTTCGCCCAGCCTTGCTTTTCTTTACATTTAACGTTACCTGATTCTCACCACTAGGACGGGAGGTTGGACTTTGACGACTATACTATATTATGCAAAATAAATTTTGTCAGGGAAAGTCTAGATGACGAGCAGTTCAAATATGCTGTTTCAGTGTCTAAATGGTCTCCTCTTTACAAATTTTATTGTATTCTTTAGTAATGGACAAATCTTAAACGGTTTTTTGCAATTCAGAAGGGTGGTTATCAGGTAATATGCAATTTATTACAAGCAGATAAACAGCATTTTGGCTATGCTGTAAACGTTTTGATTTAAGAAATTTTCGGAAACGATACGAGAGCGATAGTTTTACTTTAATTAAACGATTTATACCAGTTACTATAAAACGATATTAAACGATTTATACCAGTTCATACCAGTTATTCACACGCAAAGGCATGTACATTTAAAAACACGTCATCAGCCTCTGCGCGATGTCATCCTACACGTCAGCTTATAATCCAGCCAATCAGTCTAAACCACGCAACTTATTTTGGCCAATAGGCGTAGTACACGCTCACTAGGCGCCTTCGTATAGCGTTCTAGCGAATATCAGTCATTTTCTGTTTCAGTCAGATTGTGTGCGAGTTGTATAGTGTTATCGGTTGGTCGTCATTGATTTATATCGAGGACATCGAATTTTGACGTATGTATACCTTAGCGTATGCTTGGATTATTTCGACATTGATATGTGCTAAATTAGGTATCTTTAACTTGGTTGTAGCTGTAGCTACGGCTTAGCTAACTTCAGATTTGAAGTAGGCTTCATTAGGATTATGCATTTGTACATGTTAGTTGCTTCCCTTTGCAATTGCATTAGTTGCAGCATAATTTTGGGTCGCCTTCCGAAATCGTTGAATGTTAGTAGTTATTTGCTATTTTGGCCATGTAATGCGGGTGTGTCGACGTGCTGGTGTCGTCTAAATGTTGTCATTTTCATGTCACAGTGTTTTCTGAAGTTTCTGGTAAGCGATGCCGCTATAGGACTCTACTGGGTTTGATTAAGTTTGGGACTAAACCGTATACTAAAATTAAGCCTAAACTGAGAAGTTCTGTTAGACTATTTTACTGGGAGTCATAGCAGACCTTTGCTATCAGCAAGCGAATTTCCACCATCATTTGTACCTTTGACGATTAAATCATGCTTGTGAAATGTGGTTTCCTGCTATTAATATTGAAGCATTATGTCGAAATGCCATGCAAAGTTAGAAAAATTACGTGATTTTCTACGAAGTAGGTAATCAAGAAGTTTCGGCATGCATATCCGCTGGAAATGTGAATATTTAGATCCGGATTTCTAAGTAGTTTTGTGAGTTTACTTGAAAATATGCAGAGTTCAGAAAAACAATATCTACTACTTCGGTCGTAAAACATTACCAGCCGACCTTGATACAGATGTGAAATATCGGGTGCATTGTCGTAAAGAGTTATTGTCATTCTAAATCTCATGTGTGAACATTTAGATAAATATAAAAGACGATGAAGTGGTTTACTTACGTTTTGGCCTGTGGGCTATTCCTAGTCGTTTTCGGTGCCCAGACTACCGATAAGCCACTCGGAACCGTGATTGGTATCGATTTGGGTACAACATATTCCTGGTAAATTTTACTTTTGTTAGCAGCAGTTGTGTTTACCACTGCTTTGTTTCAGTGTCGGCGTTTACAAAAATGGCAGAGTAGAGATCATAGCTAACGACCAGGGAAACCGGATCACTCCTTCATACGTTGCATTCACTCCTGAAGGCGAACGTTTGGTCGGAGATGCTGCCAAAAATCAACTGACAATTAATCCAGAAAACACAGTTTTCGATGTAAAAAGAATTCTTGGTCGAAGCTGGGAAGACAAAGAACTGCAAAATGACAGAAAACATTGGCCTTTCACAGTTGATAAAAAGGGAAAATCAGTTGAAATTAAAGTTTCGGTCAAAGGCGCTTCAAAAACTTTTGCGCCAGAACAGATTTCAGCCATGGTATTAGAGAAAATGAAGGAAACAGCCGAACAGTATCTTGGCCAGAACGTTACGCATGCTGTTATTACTGTTCCTGCATACTTCAACGATGCGCAGAGACAGGCGACGAAGGACGCTGGTACAATAGCAGGACTCACTGTTTTGCGTATTATAAACGAACCGTACTTTAAGTCATTTTTTGTTTCTTTCTCTACAGTTCCTTTTAGTACTGCTGCTGCCATTGCGTACGGTCTTGACAAAAAGGAAGGTGAAAAAAATATTTTGGTTTTCGATCTCGGCGGGGGCACCTTCGATGTGACACTGTTGACAATTGATAATGGGGTTTTTGAAGTGTTGGCTACAAATGGTGATACCCATCTTGGTAAGTTGAAGGTTTGCATCGTGCTTTAAATAACGTCGTAAGAGGTTGTTTCTCATTATGACGAAATTTCAACAGGGTTTTATTCGGTATTTTATCTTTCGTTATGTGCAGTGTGTTGTCTGTTGTCATGAAATTTTCTTCGTTCTATTCTGTCGCATTTCTTTAATTATAGTTTAAAGTTGTCATGCATTTTATAGTTTAAAATTGTCATGCCAATCCGCAGATAGCCAAACCAGCTGAATCGTTAGTTAAGCTTCATGCTTTCAGTTTTCTCTGTATTCAGCATTCTGTAACAATAGCAACTGTTCGCTTGACGTAAATTTGACGAAGGTCGATTAAGTGTCAGACTAGAGAAATAAAAGTTTATTTAAACAACTAGTTAGTAGCGTGGCTTTCTACTTTCGATTCTCTTCGCTTGAGTTTTGTTTTGCAGGATACGAAATTACAGAATTTTTGAAGTTGAACTTCGATTTATAAATATATGTAGTCTTTGCTGATAATTGTTTGACGGTTAATTTCCAGATAGCATCTATACGAATATATGTAGAAGTTGAACTTGCAAAATTGCAGTTGCATTTATAATTGTGGTCTGGGTGTCGTGGCGCATAAGACATTGATTGACTTTATATATATCGGCCTTATACCTTAAATTCTCCAAAAATAGTCGAAAGTACTTAATAAGTTTAAACTAAAAATTGTTATCCCTATGTTTAACCTAGGGGATTAAATTAATTGTTCATTGCCTATAAATAAACATTTCTGACCCGGTTTTCTTCAAATGAAAGTAGTTCGAGTCAAGTTGTATTTCCTAAAATCTGTTTTTAAGGCGGAGAGGACTTCGATCAGAATGTCATGGAATATTTTATAAAACTATATGAAAAGAAACATGGCGTCAAAGTAAGAAGTAGCAATCAAGCGGTGCAAAAACTCCGACGTGAAGTTGAAAAGGCAAAAAGGCTGTTGAGTTCGCAACATCAGGCGCGCATTGAAATCGAGTCATTCTTCGGAGGAGAAGATTTTAGCGAAACTCTTAGTCGTGCGAAATTTGAAGAGTTGAATATGGTGAGTGTCGTCATTAAGTGATTTTGATCATATAGTAAGAACCATTTGTTTAGAAACTTTTCCAAGATACTCTGAAACCTGTCCAGAAAGTTCTCGAAGATGCTAAGTTACCTAAGAGCCAAGTAGACGAAATTGTCCTCGTTGGTGGCAGTACGCGTATCCCAAAGATTCAGCAGCTCATCAAAGATTTCTTCAATGGTAAAGAACCAAGTCGAGGCATCAATCCAGATGAAGCCGTTGCTTTCGGTGCTGCGGTGCAAGCAGGCGTCATAGCCGGCGAAGACGGTATGCTTTGTTGTCGGTAAAAAAAAATGTCGATGCTTACTTGCAGACACCGGCGATCTGGTCTTACTCGATGTGAACCCCCTTACTCTCGGTATTGAAACTGTCGGCGGCGTCATGACAAAACTGATTGGCCGAAATACCGTCATTCCAGCAAAGAAGTCGCAGATATTCAGTACAGCGGCAGATAGTCAACCAACTGTTACAATTCAAGTAAGACGATGTCGTAGTTTATTGTAGGCTGTCGGAACAACTGCATTTTTTAAACATTGACGAACTGAAAGAAACTCTTCTTTCATTAGGCATGGCCATCTTTAAGTATATGCTATAAACGTCGCATTAGTGAACGTGAATCTGTGCAGAAAGTCTCTCGTTCACGATGGTGTTTTTTTCCTGTCAGTTTTTTTATTGCGTAGCTGTAGAATGAAACGCTTTTCAGGTCTTTGAAGGAGAACGACCAATGACGAAAGACAACCATCTTCTGGGTAAATTTGATCTGACTGGCATTCCTCCTGCTCCACGTGGTGTGCCACAGATTGAAGTTACTTTTGAAATCGATGTTAACGGAATTCTGCACGTAACCGCCGAAGATAAAGGCACTGGTAACAAAAACGACATTACGATAACCAGTGATCACAATCGCTTGAAACAAGAAGACATTGAACGAATGATCAACGATGCTGAAAAATTTGCCGAAGAAGACAAGAAAGTGAAAGAGCAAGCGGAAGCTAGGAACGAACTAGAATCGTTTGTCTACTCTCTGAAAAATCAGGTGGGCGATAAAGAAAAGTTAGGAGCGAAACTCTCTGCGAAAGACAAGGAAACAATTGAAAGTGCAATCGAAGAAAAGATCAAATGGTTGGACGAAAATAAATCCGCTTCTACTGAGGAAATGAAAAATCAGAAGAAAGAGTTGGAGGAAATTGTACAACCCATCATCGGCAAACTGTACCAAGGACAGCCTGGCGGAGCTCCTCCAGCTCAGGAAGAGAAGGACGAACTTTAAGATAAATTCGTTGTGCAGTTTGTTTTGCAAATGAAGTCCATGGTATCGTTGAATTTTTGTCCATACTGCATGTTATCTATGTTTTCTTGCACTTTGCGGTGTGTTCTTGTTACTTTGTTTGAATTACACTGCGTCTTGTGAACGAATTCGTCTTTGCTGACTTCCAGCTGCACTGTTATTTCTTTTTGAGGAACTTCAACGAGTTACATGCTCACAATGGCAAAATTATTTCGCCGATTTTCTGCACCCGAACTTTGAACAAACCGTCGTATGGATATAAAACTTTCGGCAAGTTTTGGAAACTGTTTAGCGCGAAACTGACTTAGACAATGTTACTCAGATGAAGATCCGGCAGCTTTGCTTCATATCAAGGTGATGGCAGTTTTTCTTGTTGACTGATTCACTGAGACGTGGTACATGCACAAGTGTGAATTGCGTTCTGGAATCGAGTAATTACGTCTGGCAGCAATAGATCTGCTAGTGGGGACTTTTTTGCTGAGATTTGTTTTTAAACTCTGATGGAAGACGAAACTGGCAGAAATCTGGAATTAAGTTTGCGATTGGACTGATATGCATTCCTTTAAAGAGGACACCAGTTTGGAAGTTTTCGTACAGGAGCTGGAAATGTCAGTTTGGATGGATGCCTCTTTCAGACAATTCGTTTGTTCATAACAGTGTTCTCAGTTTTGAGAACTTCGAATGTCAGCCAGCCGCGTCTTCTTTTAAATCTGTAAGAAGTCAGTAAATATATTTTGTGAATAAATTTACAAATGAATGAACTTCACTGCGGCTGTTGACGTGATTTCAACCGTAAAATCAGCTATCTATATCTTGTTGAGATTATATCGCACTTGAATTAGATATAGATAGAAATGCGCACATGAAAGGTTACACTGTATCGATGCCGTTTTGGTCGTGCTTATGATATTTTTGAAAATTTCGCCAACAATTCGAAGCTGAATTGCTTCGCTTGTTGCAGAAGTTTTCCATACCGCAAGAATACTGATCAACAATCAGTTGAATAGTCACATCAGGTACGTACGTTTTGGCTCGCAAATTTTGTGGTTGTGAGAGGGTTGAATGGAGTTTAGCTTTGAGAAAATTATGTACTTGTAATACTTTACGTAGTTAAATCGAAATTTAGCACAGCCCCTTTGCTTCTAATTGCCTAGGGGACAATTTATTTATGACCATAAAAAGTAGGAATCTTAAAAAAAATCTTCGCTGAACTATCCATGGTTCAGAGCAAGAGTTAATAATGACGAAATAAAACTCTTTATTACCGGATTACTTCGATTCCGTACATCATCATTACGTAATGGAGGGTAATCTTGGACAATCAAGTGCTTAAATTAGCAAATCGACACTTCTTGCCATATTTGTTTCAACCGTGTTATGTTTTCTGTACGAATTGCTACACAACGCCTGGTTGTTTTGCGCAGTTTAAGTATTTTCCCATCAAGGCAATTAACCATTTTGAAGACAATTCCAGTTCCTTGGCAACAGGTTCAAGTCGCGCTTTTCTGTCGTCTATCTGTCAGTGCCTGTTAGTCTGAACCGCCGCTGCTGCAGTAGTAACCAGTATCATTACTGAATGGAAGCTACACTCTGTTCAGCAATTTGCTTTGCGAGTCCAGCTTCTGAAAAACGAACACCACAGGTTTTGGTTCATTTTCAGAGGTTCTGACTGATTTATCACACTAATTAGCCTAGCGAGGGCTTTCTCCATTCCATCCGTATAGTTTTTTTTGAGCCTTAGCTGCAAAGCTGAACCACATGTGAGACGCTATTCATTTTCCATCGCCGCTTCTCCTTTCGGGTCGCGGAGGCAGACGCGTCAGACAGAGCTTCCAACGTTCCCGATCCTGTGCCAGAGTCTCAGCTTCGGCAAAAGACAACTGGAGTCTGGAACAGGCTCCTTCCAATTCTATTTCGTTTATAGTGTTTGTATATGCTTTGACATTCTATCATGCGTATTTAAAGAGGACAAAGCATTCGTAAGCCGAGGGACAACAAAAACAATCAGTCCTATGCAAAATGCCATTTTCATCAGTTAAACGCAACAGGCGAATAAAATACACTGTACAGCTGCGTATTCGTGAAACTACGTAACTTCTTCATCGTTCGCAAGGTTTCCAAAAACTTCTGACGGCACTGTTTGTTTTTCGACCTCAAGTTCTACAAATAAAATAATTTAGAAAACAACACAAGATTCACTAGTGACTCACCGTTCAACATGTCTAAATCGATCTCATCCGGATTTCGCTCTTCGACCACCCGTGTTCCAGCTCCGCGATGTTGGTCGTGCATCGTTTCGCCGCTAGAACATTAACCCGTTAAAACAGAGCAGCAGCAGCAATAACATTCGCAAAGGCGATGAAAGAATTTGACTAAGTACCTGATGAAACTGATGGCGGACACCTTGGACTTCTGGCCGCCCTTCGACGCCTCCTCGGCCAGCTGCTGTGCCTTAGCCTCGAGGAGGGCCATGCTGTCACCAGCGGTCATTTCTTCGGCTAAATTGAACATGGCCGTTAGCAAGTGACAAACAACAGTGACGCACATACTGGTCTTCATCTGACCACTGGCCGCGGCGAGCATCTGTGCCGACATGAAATTAATCTGGGTGTTATAGGTCGCTTGAACACTGCGCTTAATCCGCAGCATTTCGCGAACCGTATCTTCATTGCCATGCTTTACCTCAAACTCCTTCCAGACCTGCCAAAACTCTTCATGGATCTATAAGTCCAGATGATTATCACTAACAGTCAGCTAACAGCGAAAGAAAAACGAAATGGTTGGTTAGCGTGAAACCACAGTGTACCGCTATACCCCGGAAACGTCGATATCACTTCCACTTCCACATGGTGCCATTTGTGGAATGTTACAAGAAACTGTGCTTTATGAATATTATGGATGCTATACAAAAGAATGTTACAACAAACTTGACGCAAAAATTAACTATGCAGGTTCCCTCCATTCGTCACACTTTCCAAACGCTTCTTGAGAAGAGCATTTTTTACTTTAACCTCAACTGTTAATCATTTTTGATAACTGGTGGACTCCGTTTTGTATTTCAATTTAATCAGTTAGGTTCCGGGTTAGAGGATTACAAGGCGCAAAGCAAGTACACATTGGTGAGAGGTTGAAAAAGATGAGTTAATGAAAATTTAGACTCACTGTGCGCCAAGAAAAAATTAAAATAAACAAAAGGCAAAATAACCATTTCACCCTTTGAGTTACTTCGACAGTTGTAGGCCTTTTGTCAAAACCTGAATACGACAAGCTCCCGAGCTGATTAAACAGTTTTACTCTTCCTTAAGAAAACAAAGCGAGCTTTTCAGTTTTGACTGAACAAGCCGACTTAGAAACTCCACAAGCATAAAACAGATGCGAACTATTTCCTAAATAGCATCAAATCCCCGCGACCGGTGAATGACTAAAACCTGATGAACAAAGACTTGCGAAAGTGTCTGGGTGCACCCTCTTGAAGAAATGGACGGTTTATAAAAATTCCTTCGAAATAACGAGTTACAGTTCGCTTCCATTTAACCGTTAGAAATATATTAATCGCTAATGTACTAAAGATTAGACATTAAGAAGTCTCAGGGAGGAATTTTACACAAATTTGATTTCGGTATTCACGTTGCAGATGGGAGACAACGAACCAAGTTAGACATCCAGAAGAAGTACGGCGGAGGCAATTTCCTACGTCGTGAGAACCTGTCAGAAACTCAAACGGCTGGTTAGTGAGTACACTATGGACAGGGGCGGACGGATTTTAGTCATCAAAGCGAATCAGCTTAGAAGAAAGCTACCGTATTTTTCCATCGATAACGCGCACCTTATGCATACCGCACACCTTGTACTTCTTTATACCCGTTAAAATGTATAGAGAATGCGCACCCTGTAATAGTTAATGTACAGATGGCACATAAAATGTATAGATGGTGTGTAGTCTATTTACTGTCTAAAAATGGTAGTTTGACGGCTGTGACTGTATCTGAAACAAACGAACAGAAGAATTAATAAGAGTCAAAACACTGCTTCTGATCTTTAAACACGTGTATTTTGCAAGTGTTTAATTTTTAAAATTTAAATTTGCTTATGAGAAAATTACCCATGCAGAAAAATGCTGTGCGGAGACAATCTTATAGAGCGAATTTAAAACTGGAAGACGTTAATTTCGCGAAAGAAAAAAAGAATCAAGAGAGAGCCAAGAAATTTAACGTTAGAGAATTCAGCGTACGGGAATGGAAGAAAGAAGAATCAGTCCTAAGACGTTTATACCAGAAGAAAGTGCAATGAGTTACAGGAGATGCTTCTGGCCAAAGCACGAAAAAACATTTCTCGAGTGGGTTCTTCCAGAGAGGTCGAAAGGACTAAAGTGCCAACAACCAGTATTTCACGAATCGAACTGAGTGATGTACCTGAAGAAATGGTAAATTTTCTTGATTCATTTTACATTGATTCAGATGAATAGTTTTATGGTTGTGAGTAACTTTACTGTAATACATATGTACAATAAGTGTTGTTTCATGTTTTATTTTTATCTTATTTTGTTGTATTCACCTATATATTAACTGATATTGCAATATGTACATGGTATAGCCAAATTTGTTTTCAAAATATACGCAATTTGAAATTACCGCGTACATAGGTAACTTGAAATAGCTTGGAAAATTTTCGCCTTTCATTACATAACGCGCAGGTTATCGATGGGAAAATATGTTACTTCTAACCAAGAACCGGATTCCATCAACCGTGTCAGTTCCCAATGAAAGCATTAAATATTTCATCAC